TGCAAAGATGAGGGCACTGGCCTCGCAAGGTTGATGGGAGGAGGCTGATGGGAGGTCACTGCCCTTAAGGTTGCTCACTCTCGCTCGAGAGGACGTTCTTTTTTTCTTGTACAGAGCGCCCTGTAAGTCAGTTGCAAAGAACCGTGTGAGTGATGTCAACAACCACCCACTAAGCCATGTGCAGAGATGCGAGCATATTGCCCTCGGCCATTGGCCTTGGGAGGTGTGCCGGCGGAGGGGGCACGTTATTAAGGTCATGACATTGTACTGAGGCTGATAGAAGGTCACTGCGCCAAGGTTGACCGCGCGCACGCCCTCTCTCGAGAAGACTTTTATTCTGACAGTAACCTGTATGATCCAGGACTCTTATGAGAAATGAATTCAGACTCCCCCCCCGCCCCTCCTGCACAATACCTACTCTCCAAGCAGAGGTTGGTGGGGAAGATTGTGATCTTTATGCCATGCCATGTTTTCTGTCGCTACCCCCTCATTGCTACGACTGAAAACGGGCGTATGATATAAAGGTCACAATCAGCTTCAGTACAATGTCATGACCTCACGTGCCCCCTCCGCGGCACCCCTCCCAGGGACAATGGCCGAGGGCAATACAGTGTGCTCGCATCTCTGAACATGGCTTAGTGGTCGTTGGAATGCTGCCAATCTCTTTGAAAAGGTGTGCATGTATAGTGACTTTATCCTAAACACTGTAGATTTCTGTCAGCCTCTACCAGGCTTCGGGAGGCGGTTGGAAAGAGAAGAAATCGGCATAGAGAGATAACATGCCGGGGGAGTTGGTCCGCTAGAGCAAGGACATTGTTCTGTATAATGTCCTTGGCTAGAGAGTACAGTTTGTCGCACCCGGGTTTCTGTAGACGCCGTTATCGACACGACTTCTCAATAGGGTCCCAGCCACTGACCTACACATAAAGATAACATCCGGTATCAACCGACCTCGAAAAACAATTACATTAATGGAAATGCGTTGTACATGTAGCAGTCATATCAATGATTCCTAGAACCTGCTCGCGTTACGGGGTAAAAATGACAATGAACTTGCCCACGCAGGCTGCGCAGGCCCAATGGCTCTCTCTTTCCACGATCATGGTTGGTAGTACACGTGCGTATCCCCCACCCCGAACCTAAGGACACTCCACACACAATGAAAGTTAAAGTACATGTACATGAGCTTCTCTTGGAAATGAAATCATTCAGGCTCAAATGCCGGATAGATAATCTCCAAGCAGATATTTTGGTGGCAGCAAAGACCAGGTATGTCTCCATTTGCCATCCCCCTTTGGCTGGGGGAAAAAGATCCCAGTGCAAAAATACAAAGCCCAATAAAAACGCATTAACAACGCGAAAAAAATAAGCCGACTGCTTGGAGAGTCATGATCGTATAGACGTGAGTACTCATTGTGCTCTCCTTGCACGGTGCGTTACCGTAGCTACATTCGTAATAAATCAGGTTACTCCAACCACACGTAAAACACGTTTCCCACGACCTTGGTGTTAGAGTTGGGTGACTTCGTGACGGAAGTGGTGGACAGAATAAATGTAGCAGGTGTAAATATCGGGTCCTGTTGTAAGGGAGTAGAGTTCCCAGGACTGAGGAAATATGTGGGCGTGTATAAATGTGATCTAATAGTTTCCGAGATTTGCTCTTGCAATGTGAACTGGAATTCATATCCTATAACAGTTCAGGGCCCTTTGTGACTCACACCTTTTGTGACTTTCATTTAGACTTCTGCTTATTTTTGGTGTGGCGTTTTCATTGGCCTTTCTTTTTTTTGTACAGGTATCTTTTCTGTGCCAGGCCAAGTGGCAAACGGTAACTGTCTAGCAGATAATGCCTGGCCCATCTGATACTGTCTTCCAGCCACGGAAAGATCTGCTTGGAGATACACGACAGAAGAGACCCCGTGGGGACGGGTACCAGGCTAAGTGCCGTCGGGACCACTATCCTGCTATCTATGTTAAGTCCGCTAGAGGACGCTTCGGGAGCTCTGCTAGCTAAGGATGCACTGTTATGACTTAGGCACTCCACCTGTCAGATAAGCCACAAGCTAGCATTTCGTGTTTCAATTTTCCACCTACGCTCCCGACGTGTGTGGTTTACTCGGCAACAGCTTCATTTCTTTGAAAAAAAAAGGAGAAGGTGTTATGTATTCATGCAGTTTCCGCGAAAATTGCGAAATGCAATCTGTACACGCCAGCGTTTCCTGTACTTAGTTTTTGTTTTTCTGATTTATTGTTCTGTGTTGATTTTCTTATGCAAATATTTTTCTTACCTCTGTCGATTCTTCCGGGTCCGTTCCTAGTACGTTATTAAAATCGTCCATTGCAATATCGGGGTGGCAATGCAAAGAATATTTTGGATTAGGAAATCAGTCCTGTATGATAATTACATTTACGTATTTTTCGTTGCATATTTTCGTCACCATTTCAAACTTAAACGGTTTGAAATAGCCCCCAAAACAAGCCACGTGAGGAGTTCCAGTATTTTTGGTACCACCAATAAATAGCTACAACTAGCTTTTGATACCAAACAAGCAACCGTTTTCTCTCAGTGACATCTTATTTTTGCCTCACAGGTATGAAATATGCTTTGGGATAGGGTTGATTTAACTACATTGATAAAAATGACCAGAAAATTGACTTTGAAAATACAGTTTTTACTGTCATGAAATCGCTTTGGGTGAAAGCACCAACTTGATGGGGGAGTTTCACAAATGGTGCTTTGCTGATCTCCATCCCCTACTTATAGCAATGTTGGTTTGTCCCTCCTCATTTGATCCAGCCTGCCAAGAACCCTCTATTTTTAGTCCGTTTGAACAGAGATTACTGGGAAACTGTAAACCTGGCGCGTATTATTACTGGAACTACACGAAAGCTGACGTTCGCAGAAACGCCGGCAAATATTGCTTTATATGGCTGTCTGGATCGGGGAGGAAGCCAATATTAGTAATTCTCAAGCAGATGTTAGGATGGGACGTACATGGTAACGTTCATAGGCCTATAAGATATAATGGCTGTGTGTAAAACCATAGAGGTAGAATTGGCTTCCCCTGGAACCTCCTTATTGAAACGTTGCAAGATTCTCTATTCCGAAATCTAACATCTGCTTGAAGGGGCTGACACGTAGCACGTTTTGACTTTTGAGTGCTGCTGGTGCTGGCAAATGTAATAATCAAGTTGTCTCTTTTTTTAAAGGCCAATTAAATTATTACATAAACAAGTTGTGCTGGTCTGCGAGGCGGTAGTCTCTACAAGTAGACTCTTTTGGTTGCTGACAAATTTCAGAAGGCGGCTAAAATATCGCTAATATATATATTTTTGTCAGAGGAATCAGCCTGCTATGCGCTGACACGTTGGCAAATGTATACGTGCACCTGGTAAAGGTTTATTCATTGATTCCAAGAACTCAGCGTTTAAAAAACAGCTATTTAAGTGAGCTCCGGTCTGGAAATAGTGTAGATATAGTTAGGAGTTGGCGGATGTACAGAAGTACTCCCGAACAAGAAAAAGCACTCCGAGATCGCAAACCTTTGCCAATACTTGTCTCTATTGGGAATTGCACGTTTTCTATGTATCGTCCGGAGGGTTTTCTTGGATATACCAAAGTATCCCGTAAGTCGTGGGTTTTAGTGCCCCTTTTGAATATTTTATGAACACAGAACACAGCTGTTAAAATGACGCTGAAAAGGGCAGACAGGCTCTCCAATGTATATAATTTAGCTGTCCCACCTTATGTCACACCTTACGCATTCAATAAGTATAACTCAATTCTCCGTATAGTATGTTGCCCTCCTCTGTATTATCATTTCTCCAAGCAGAGGTTGTTTGGGAACATTGTGAACTTCCTGTACTTGTCATTTTCTGACAGCTTCAGTGGCAAATTATGATAGTGTCTTGCCTATACACTTATGTATTGAATACTGCCTTGCCAGCTGGTTACGTCTTTGCCATAGAAAGACCTGTTTTTCCCAAGCGTCACTGAATTCTGTGGAAATATTAGACCCTGAGATCGCGCCCAAACTCACCTGTGACGAGCGCTGCTAATTTTCAATCGTTCGAATTCCGTGTGTTACGTGACCGTTATCTTATCTCACATGGCCGACGTGGAAATGTGCGTAGAACGCGCTATTAGTATTACATAAAGACTGTAAGAACGAAATGTAAAGAACGAAATGAAAAGACCCACAGAACCATGAATTTTGACCTACTTTCACAATCCTGCGGGTTATTTTTTCTCGCATCATGTTTAGCCTCATTAAATCTACTGGCTATAGGGAATCCATATTTGCCAGGGGATTTGGGCCACCATATTGTTCATTTGTCCAAGGGGAAACGTTAATACCACTACTGCGGCTCACTCCCGGGAATTCTACCTTCAATAACCCCTTAGGAAGCCTTGATGAAGGCTACTTAATGTTACAGAAAACCCCGTTATCCGAGACCGTGTCAGTGTGGTACCAATTAGAGGGAACCGAGGAAATTTTCAACAACTTTTCGTGGAAAGATATACCAATGGTCAAAGATCTGTGTGTTCAAGGTATCGTGTTGTTCTGCTTTTCGGGACAGGGTTACTACAGGTCATTTGTTCTTCATACCAGTTTGTAAACACAAACAACATCAAGCACGCCACAGTCTGGCCGTTGCATGTTTTCCTAGAAGAATCAATGCTTGATAAAGGTGAGTCTATGATATCGCCTTAGCCTCGACCAGGCTTCGGAAGCGGCTTGAAACTGATTTAAGGGTAGAAATTGACCAAATAGACAGATAACATGCCCTGTGAGTTGGTCCGCTAAATGAGTACATTCGGGTGCCAAAATGTAATCTTTAGCGGGCCATTTGGCCATGCGCCAATTTCTACTCTTTCAGCCGCTTCCCGAAGCCTGGCCGAGGCTAATCCCCTTCCTTCTGGCCAGCTGACCACTCAGCGTCACCGCCTGCACCCCCTTTCAAGGACAGTGACGTCAGGCCTTTCCAAATATGGAAGACGTAACCTTTAACCCCGGCACACAGCAACGCTCGGTTTCCTGGAATCGGCTTGTCAGATTGGGGCATTTCTAAGTAAAACTATTCATAGGGGACAACGAACCTTGACAAGCTGGGCCAGGCAACTAGTTCCCAGAAGCGGATGCAAACCTCCAGCACGTAGACTCGGAGAAAATCCCGGCGTTTGTGGCAGATTTTTGTGTGTTTTGGCGTCGGTAGACTGCCGGAGTGGTGCTCTTTTCCGCCGAAAGTGGCGTAGGTTACCGAGAGCAGGAAGTGGCGGGCGTCATGGCACGGACTCAGCGGTAAAGCTGAGCGCTACCTTCGCGACCTTCTCGCTTGTGTGGGCGCGGGTGTATGGAGGTGATCGACCCCGCGCTGACGGCTGCAAGTAGGCAAAGGTTATGGTCGATTCCACCGTGTGCGATCCCGGGACGAGCTACGAGGTTCATCGGCGGAACGGTGCCCAGGACAGACCGGCCAAGATGAGGTCTCGGCTGCCTCCCAACGCCAAGGCTCGCAGCACGGAGTTCGACCTTCAACGTATCATGAAGACAGTGAACTTGCTCGAGGCGAGCGGTTGGTACTGGGGATCTCTACCGGGAGGGAAGGCTAAGGCGCTGCTTCGGCCCAAACAGGACGGGACGTTCCTCGTTCGGGACAGCGAGAACTCGGCTCATCTCTTCAGCTTGAGCGTGAAGACTCCCCGGGGCCCGACCAGCGTCAGGATACAGTACACCGAGGACGGCAAGTTCAGACTGGACTCGGACAAAAAGTCGGACACGCCGGAATTCGACTGCGTGGTGAAACTTGTGAACTACTACATGGCAGAGACGATAGCGGGACGGGACAAACATTTCTGGTTGGAGCCCAGTGGGAGAAGGGAGGTTCCGGTCAAACTTTGCCGCCCGTTGAAAGGACAGGTTCCCGCCTTGCAGCATCTGTGCCGCACGGTGATCCACAGACACAGGACCGACGGGGAGGTCGACAAACTTCCGCTGCCTGCCCCTCTACGGAAATTCCTGCTGGACTATCCGTACAAAGTATGACCCATTCCACAAGGTGAAAAAACTTGAACTTCGCAGTAAGACTATTACTATACAAACTCAGTGAACCACTGGACTTATCAAAGTACGTTATCACTGTAAATATTCATGTGACTCTTATATATAGCCAGTAAAAGTTGCAAAACTTATACAAACTTCCGGTCACTGTCGATCTAGTCCTGACCGGTTTATCCAAATGTGAGTAACTTGTGTACATAATGAGGATACAAAATCCGTGCCAGTTATTTATATCAGAAATTGACATTTTTATTTATGGACAGTTGTCTGTTATTATACTGTGTCGGCATAATAAATTTTGAATGCACAGTCAGTCAGTAGTGCAGTGCAAGTTGTAGCCCAGCCTCTGTGCTTCAGAAGCGGATGGAAAGAGTAGAAATTGGCCAAATAGACGGATATCATGCAAGGGGAATAATTTGGTCCGCTAAAGGGGTACAGTCTAGTAGGGCCATTTCTACTCTTGCCAGCCGCTTCTGAAGCCTGAGAGGGGCTAGTTGTAGCCACATGTTTTTGTAAAGCCCGTAAATTCCAACCAACAGGCATTTCCTCTGTCGTCTGTTCTGTAGCTAGGAAACGTGGCGAGGGAACAAAAAGGCCAGTATGTCCTCAGAGTTTAGACTAGGTCAGGCATGAGTATGCGCCGTCACAGTGGAACCCTCCCGTGCAGAGCAGGATTTAGAGATTACACCACAGCCAATCTCTCTCACGAAAGGATAGAAGACAATAGTAGGATGAGATTATGTTGCATGTCTCGTTGTACGTCTACGATAATGTTCGTATCTTGCCCCGACGTTATATGTAAACTGTAAAGCTCCACGGTGCACATTTGCATTTTGTTGCTATTAATAGAGTGTATGTATGCCACTTGATATTGTGACCATATTTGGCACGAAATGTTGGGTTCGCGGAACAAAGAAGTTTCCCGTGTTGAGCACCTAGCTGAGGTGTTACCAAATAAGGGGCGGGTCTGGTCTAGGGATTGTTGCAAGGGAGGGGGTGGAATGGGGGAGGGCAAAAGTCGAAAAAGGTTGCTCAATCTTTAAAATGCAAGGAAATATTGCACAGTTTGGCGTAAAAAACAAAATTGTATAATGCCCTGCCACCTTATAATCCCACTCCCAATACAGTATCTCTACAGTACTCGGTATTGGGAAATCATATCAAATTCAATGTATTTCTCCACCTTAGTTGCAAGCGAGTCGGAACTGTATGATTAATTCAGAATACGGCGAATGTGGCGCTGAGTGTATTATGTATGGCTGTTACCACGAATCCAATCTGTACTGTCGTCAGCTTCCAGGAACCAATCCGCCATTTTCCAAGTATTCTTGGTAAGCGACGAAAAAGGGCCGTGCCCTGGATACATAATAAAACAGTTCTTATTAGATTGTCAGAGACCTACGTGTGCATGTGTGATTACCAAGGCTTGCCGTATTTACTAAGTAGTGCAACGCAAGGATGTGTCGACCTGGTTATGTCTGGAGGAAATCTAGCGTGTGTATTTGGTTAGATACCTTTATAGCCAAGGGTCATACGTTGTAGTTATTATTAGCCTTTACCAGGCTTCAGAAGAGACTGGGAAGAATAGACAGATAACATGTAAGGGGAAAGCACAGTTATCAGTTTCTAAAATGATAAAGTAAAACGAACGTTAGCAATAGAAATGAATGCCTGAAATATCTTGTGATATCCAATGTAATATTTGCACGTAGACATTGATCGAGAACGTGCTACACATCTTTACAAGGGATAGAAATAACCTCAAAAGATGGCCCAATATCCCTCTACGGTTTTTCATTCTTTGAATACGGGTATCTCGTTACTATATATACACCAAGTGGGATACACCATCAATAAACCGAGAACGTAAAAGCAGGGCTTATAAAAAGGCAGTAAAGCCCACGAGCTCAGCTCAAGCAGTCTCACTTGCGAGAATATCAAAGTTCACGTGTAAGGAGTCTTCTGTATGTATGGGCTGAGTCTGCCGGGGTGATTGCTATCAGACTAGCGGTGGAGGTTACGTAACGAGAGAATACTAAGCGTGTGGCTGCGAATGCCGCGCATACAAATAACACATGATAGACATCTGCCGACAGTTCCTTGTGACTAGTCAACCGAACAACACGCCAAAATGCAGGATCTAACATCTAGAGTAAAGAATTAAGAAGGATATACAGGAAGAGATACGAACTGTACATTGAAGCAAGAAGGAGAATTATTTTTGACAGCAACGACTTAAGATGAATAAAGGTGTTCTTTGTCCCGAGCTTTTGAAGTAAGAGCAAGTGACTGACACTGCATTGTAAGATAAACCCGGTACTACGGAAGCCTGGCAGACGGATGTCAACACAAACATTGATAATGATGTCGTTCTACAAGGTAACGTATTAGTACGATCGTGATGAAGTCAAGGAAACATATGTTTTTACGTAAAACAGACGTTAGATTGAAGGCATTTGCTCTGACAATGCACGCCCTTGTTCTGGGTCGGTTAAACTACTATTATGTTGCTATGTAAGAAATGCCGTATCATAGCATTTATCTGCTGTGTCGTGTATTGCATAATGCACATGCGTGTTCTCTAAACTCCTGGACTCAATGAGATCATCATTCATTCTCTGTGTTTCAGTAAACATATGCATGCGTGCCGGGTTTGCAAGCCTTTGTGGAATTCCTGCAGTTATGAGTACAATGTGTACCTCATCTAGATAAGACTTTAATTAGCTGGAATTCGGAAGTGAAATAAAAGACGCCCCAGATAACCAACAGAAGTACTAGTACTACATGTATGTGCCCCCCTTTCCTCAGTGGTCGTGTCCGTATCCGTTCTTGAGTGAATATTGCGAACCCCTATTACTTTGGAAAACTGTGGTTTTGTAGTGTGTGCATATATATATGCGGGTGGCGAGAAGACGACTACAGCTCTCTGGAGACCCTTAGACTTAGTTTAGAGAGTGACATGTATTTTAAATGAAGAGGGTAACGGAATTTACATACATCGGTCTAACGTGAGTGTTTACTTTATACGCTGCTGTCTGATCAGGTATTCTGACTGGGAAGAATACTTGTGCCGAACAGACGTCGTGAGCTATTAAAAATGCTAACAAGGAAATACAGTATGTATAGTAACGATCCACTATGTAATCAGTGACAGATTGAAAATTGGAGCCGAGTGAATCTCGACCTAGTGAGTGAGTGAGTGATTAAAATTTATCGTTGAAGTGGGGTGTGTGTATATATATGTCACGTATTGCATATATATTGCATATTCTTACACACATGGGATAAATGCAGTTGTTATACAATTGCATAATGCTAAACGCTTGAGAGAGGGAAGGGGGGGCGATCTTCCAAAAATTTTGCCACAGATACTAGCAATAGAAGAGGCTGAGGATAAAATATACGACCTTCAAAATAAAACTAGCAAGTCCCCCCCCCCATGATGATGAATGATCTGTCCCTGGGTTACATAAGACATGCACATCGATGTGAAGTGGTGAAGGCTTCATTTGCAGTCCGCGCGCGTCGGCTGGATTCAGCTGGGCCGTATAAGTGATGGGGACATTGAACCCTGGGTACGTGTGGGCAATATGAAACTAACATAGGTGATGTCACACCTGCAGCAAGGAATATGACACATTTGACAGAAAACAAGTTACTCACATGTGCAGTGAGGTCTGATATTGCATCTGGGCAAGAACGTGCAATAAAGATTCATATCATATCATTAAAATATCCACACCGACTCAAAGCATAACAATTGCCACGACATTGAAAGATCTAGATTTAAAAGTACGTTCACAACAGCAATATGTAACAATAATGACACGATAGATCTTATCTTTTTCTCATCAAAGTAAATGTACTTAATGCCCTGATTCATGTGCTATCAACATGGCAAGCTTCTGAATAAAAATCATTCCAGCACATCACCCTGATTCCCCCTCGTATTATGAGCACTTGGTTTGATCCTATGACGTCATGCACTGTGCAAAAGTTCCCGCGGGCCAAAAAAATAGCCAAGATACTTGTACTTGTCACCTTTAAAAATAGTTTTACAGAAGGTTACAGGTGAAATTGAATCGTGGTCGTGACAGTCGAGCTAAGGTGAGCTAAGGTGAGCCTTTCCATCAGGCAGCGGTGGATCGAGTCACGGAGGGCAGATAAATAATTTAAAGGCATCCAATACAATTTCAGGGCCGCAACACTGGAAATATTCTGAATAAGGCAATCTTTATGACACTGTCACACACTAGTACATTTTCATCAGTATTTCGTACTTTGGGCATTTAAACAGTGCAGAAACAAGCCCCGAAGCTGAGTTCTACATTTTTGGGATGGCACGCCATATATTCTACCAGTCAGTTTCACCACTCAACAACATCGTATTTCTGCTCCATGGATGTTGATATACATTGGGATAGTGTTGTTCTAACTTACTGTGTAGATAAGTGACTAGAAGACGAAATGGTGTGCAAGCACTATAACTGCATTGGGCACTATTTTACTGCATACACAGGCAACAGTTGACTTCCCGCATTGATCAATATGCTGACATTACTGCACAGTCAGTAATTATGCTGATGGATTACTGTCGAAATTCGGAAACACCCGCGGGAATTTTATCCCATCTAGATCCATAGATTTGAGAATCGTGACAGATAAGTTGTTACAACTAAGTTAGTTTGCTATGTACATTATCGCTGTTCTGTAATGTCCAAGCAGATACGAGGGTTCGGCTAGCCGGCTAGTTTTTATTTTCATGCACGTATCTTTTTGAGGCATTTTGTACGCCTTTTTCTCCTTGTGACAGGGCAAAATATTCTAGGCCGAACGCTAATTACGCTTCTACTAGCCCTACAGTCTACACCTGGCCTGGTCAGGCCCCAAGCCATCATCTCAGTCTAACGACCGGTGATTTTAGGCTTTTACAAGGCTTTGAAGACCGTGCACTGCGGTGTAAAACGCCGGATTGTGACTTACTACTGGTCAGGCCAATCACCAAGTTGCATGGCCTTAAAGCCTCTTCAATTCTCAGGACTGGGCATGGAAGGAACATGCAAGAATAGCAATGGGGTTGGGCATAATTACATGCAATTATAATGTGGTATGTAGTAATTATAGCCTAGGAGACAGGGTTTTATCTGAAGTAGTTGTCTACTCATCTCGGATACACACAGTATTTGAGATGTGGGCGTGCCATGCCTGGTTGTCAGCCAATTCTGGCCCCAGAATATATCTTTCCTTTGTTGATAATAACTGTTATACAGTTCGTGGATCGGTACTGCTGTACATGTAGATGTCTTTTGTAAATGGAGATGCGATCAGCTGTGTTGTGTGATGTTATACGGTTCTCTGTTCATAGGAAGTTAAAATCTTCCAGCATCTGGATTGACTGTGCTGCGGTATAAATGTGAGCTAAACATGATTGAAGGTACCTTTGGGGATATGTCAATTTCCTTAAGGTTCCTTTGTTTTGTATAAAGATAGCATCAACAAAGAGCTGCATGGGTTGGGGGTAGAGTCTGATTAATTTTCTTATCTTGTGACAAAGGCCACAGCAAGTAAATTTTATGGATGATATCCTCCGCGGACTCCAAATCTAATGTGAGCGGGCGAAAAAAACAAGGCGAGCCGAAAAAACAAGGTTCCCACATTCTCAGATTTTGACTTAATAATTGTACAAATGGTTTTGATTCAGTGAGAACATCACATATACACAGCCAATACCATTGCATCAAAGTAAAAAAAAAAACATTGAATCAGAGTCTTTTCTTGTCTCATGTTTTCATAGTTATCTGCCATTCACGTTCCAGTATGACAAAAGACATATTTGCCCATTTTCGGCATGTTGACAACTGTCAACAAAATGTATTGTTTTTTTTTTCAAAATCAGGCGAAAATTAATGCGCGCGCTGATGTCATCCATAAGATTACTTGCTGTGGCCTAAAAATAAGATGCTTTGTGACATCACCACCTAAACCTATGACTGCAGACTTTGGTATGAGTGAATCCCGTGAATTTTGAATCTTAAATTGATGCATTCCACGGCCATTTATTGTCGTGGATTTGACCCCGACACGTGGCCAATGTTACGGCAATGGAAATATGAACAATCCACGCAACAGACGTGAAAAACACTCCAGAGTCATACATCTGCTTGGAGCCTAATTTGTCCTTGATTTGTACCCAAGGTCACTGAATCAGTGCAGAGGCGGATATAGAATATCAAAACAGGTATATTCGTTGCCTAATTTCTTCTCAAGGACTCTTACATCATACGTGAGGAAGAAACATATCAAGGACAGATGTGATGACAAAAATATCCAAGGATGGCTGTATAGCAACGTATTCTATAGCCAAATTGCACTATAGCAACGTATTCTATAGCCATCT